AGGCAACAGACTATTGTAGTTTTATCCTTATTAGGAATCATCAGATGTACATAGCCAGATTCTTATTCTATAGGATTCAAACCCTTTACTGCAGGGGTCCCCGGGCCGTGGCACACTATCGGGCCATGGCCTATTTGGAATTAGGCCATGCAAGTGGCTGGCTGGCTGGCTGAACTTCTGTAAGCAGTGAGCCGGTGGGCACTTGAGTGCATGGGCCCTAGCCCACTGCTTGGCAAGTCAAGGGCTGCATGGGTGCGTGTGTGCACCCCATCCCGCTGCTCGCACCACCCAGTTCCCCTCTCTCTCTACCACCATCCCCAGCTGGGCTGCCAAGCCACAAAGGTTGGGGATTGCTGCTTTACTGGGAATCAAATGTATACATCATTGTGTGGGTTTTGGCAGAATAGGCATGGTTGATTGATGTTGAATGGGGAGATAGTTCAGAAAACCAGCTTGCTTTGTAATAAATATCATTGAATGACCATCATTGAATGACCATCACTCTTTCAGTACAAATTTGTCTCAAAGGACTAATGTGAAAAAAAATAAATGAGCAAATCAACTAGGATGCAAATGTTATAGCAAATAACTGCAGCTCATGCAGTGGTTGTTTGAAGAAGTAAATTGTACAATAAGAACAGAAAATATAAGATTGCAATCTATGATGCATATATATATATAAAGGATGTAAACACAATCACAACTTCCAGATCATGCTCACTTACAGTTTTATGATATTTATTGCTGCATGTTCTTGACTGAACCTGGCAAAAGTGTAAATCTTTTTTACTTTTTACAAGTAAAACTTGTAAAATATGGCTTTATCTTAATTGGAGGCAACAGTTATTAAAAAAATATAAAATCAGGAATAAAAAAACAGTTCAAAAACATGAATCTTGCATAAACACTGAGCCAGTCCCTGAAGAATCTTAAAACGAATTATTTTTTAGCTGTGTTGTCATAACTTGGGCCAGGCAAAGACATAACAGCATGCTATGCTTGGTTAGCATAACTACTTCTTCTTCCTCCTCCTCCTCCTCCTCCTCCTTCTTCTTCTTCTTCTTCTTCTTCTTCTTCTTCTTCTTCTTCTTCTTCTTCTCCTTCTCCTTCTCCTTCTCCTTCTCCTCCTCCTCCTCCTCCTCCTTCCTCCTCCTCCTCCTCCTCCTCCTTTTTCTTCTTCTGCCATGTCCGTCATCGGATGTTGGCGATCATGTTGGCAATCCTATTTTTGTCAATAGCCGCATGAAAAAGTGCTGCTGAGTTTTGTCCAAACCAGTCCCTTAGGTTTTGAAATCATGATGTTCTCCTTCTACCTGGGCCTCGTTTGCCTTCAATTTTTCCCTGGAGAATTAAGTGAAGGATGCTGTATTTTTCTGGGTGTCGCATCACATGTCCAAAATACTCTTAACTTTCACTTTTTAATGGCTTTGATAATTTCCCTTTGCTTTCCCAGGCGGCTTATCACCTCATTTGTGATTTTGTTAATCCATTTTATACGTAACAGCTGTTTGTAAATCCACATTTCAAATGCTTCTAGTTTCTTCAAGTGGTTTTCTGTCAGAGACCAACTCTCTGCTCCGTAGAGCAGGATAGAAAAGATGTAACATCTGACAAGCCTGATTTTCAGTCTTAGGCTTATGTCGTGACTGCAGAAGATCTAGCATAACCCCACTTGAGTATTTTATAGCTCAGAGAGAATTCAGACCATATTGTTAGCTTACGGTTTTATACAAACCCAGAAAATAGATGAAATTGGTAATTAAATGAAGCATGCTGTATGAATGCAATACTAAGACTATCTGAAACTTTTGAGTCTTTCTGGAACTTCTATAATCAAGCATACAAATAATTAATGTTGCATACATATAATTTAATGTTATAAAGAGATGGAAAAGGAGAGTAAAAAGACAGATACCTGGACAGCAGCCTGGGTGACTTTGGGGCAGTCACTCTCAGCCCAACCCACCTCACAGGGTGGTTGTTATGAGGAAAAGGAGTAGTAGTTTTGTGAATGTTTGCCGCCATGAGCTACTTATAAAATAATAAAGGTGGGATAACAAAACCTAAATAAGTGAAATAAATAAATAAATAAATAAATAAATAAATAAATAAATAAATAAATAAATAAATAAATATAAAACCCATAGTGAGCTCTGCTAGACTTACATGGTAAAAATATTTAAATCTGCAACATTTTCAACTATTTTTTCATTAAAGTGTTATTACTCCAAAACTGAACAAAATTGAATACTGACATTTTGCATGAACTCACTGATACTGTGACATATATTAGCTTTTGTGAGGACCTGTGTGCCTTGTCAGCCCTGGAAGCCATCTTTTACTTTGGATCTTCAGGGCTGCCACATTTAGCGCTGTGGGAAACTGGGAAGGGGGATTGTATGGAGTTGGGGAGATATCTAGCCATAATAACATTCTTTTCTCTGAGAGTCAAGGACATTTGGCCCTGCACCTGGAGTGGAGTGACTGGGAGGCATCTCCAGTTGGGATGGTGCATTGATTGGACCATGTGATGGACATGTGGGTGCTGGGGCAGGGACTTGGACTTTCTTTTGGGTGGGGAAAACCTGGAAACTTTCAGATTCACGTTTTCCCAGATGTGCCAATATGACATCTCTAATAAAATGGAACTTTCAGGAACTTATAAGCTTGGAGTCTTCTTTCGTTGCAGGTGTTAACTTGGAACCTTGCATGCCTACCAAGAGCCTGTGCATATGTAATAATAATAAACCTTGATTCTCTCTGTTAAAATACTGAAGTTTGCAGATGATTGAAATGTCATTGGTCTCATTTGTGACAGTGAAGTGTCTGCATATAGATGGGAGGTTGAACAACTAGCCCTGTGAGGCAGCCAGAACAATCTGGAGCTGACCATGGTTAAAAATGTAAAGATAAGGGTGGATTTTAGGAGGAGCCTTTCTATTCTACTACCTCTTACTATATTTGATAGCACAGTATCAGCAGTAGAATTCTTAAAGATTTTGGGTCCTATAATCTCCCAGGATTTGAAATGGACACCTAACATTAGAACTATCATTAAAAAGGCACAACAAAGAATGGTCTTCCTGCATCAATTTACGAAGTTCAGCTTGCCCCAGGAGCTCTTGATAAAGTTCTACAGAGGAATTATTGAGTCTGTAATCTGTACTTCTATATAACTGTCAGGTCAGATACAGAAACCAAACAGGACAGATACAGACTGACAGATAGTTAGGGCTGCAAACAAAACAAAAAACAAAAGAAAAGAGAAAAGAAAAGAAAAGAAAAGAAAAGAAAAGAAAAGAAAAGAAAAGAAAACACAATGGCAACCAGCCCATAGAAGATCTATATATTATGCAGGCCAGAGGAGGGCTGAGAAAATATAAACACCTCACATCCTGAACATAAACTGTTTCAACTCTTCCCCTTGCTGCTATAGGGCATTGTATGACAAAACAACTAGACACAGGGACAGTTTCTTCCTTCGTGCCATCACTCTGCTGAACACTCAATTCTCACAGTACTGTCTTATATCTAAGTATATTTACCCGTGTTGTATGTCGTAGTATTATAATCCTTCCCATCTTTACTACCAGTTCTTTTTTTTTTATCTGTTCTTATTGGTATTATTACCCTGTTTCCCCCAAAATAAGACATACCCTGGTAATAAGCCCAATTGAGCTTTTGAGCGCATGGCAAGGCCAAGTGCTTATTTCAGGATTCAAAAAAATATAAGACAGGGTCTTATTTTCGGGGAAACATGGTATGATTATTATTACTCTGTTGCTTTGCATATATACTGAGAGCTTTTGCACCAGAGACAAATTCCTTGTGTATCTAGTCACACTTGGCAAATAAAGTATTCTATTCTACCCAACTAAAACAATAAAGTTTGCCAATAATGCAGGACTAAACAATAGTTCCCACGTTGCTCTTATTGCACCAAGAGTCCTCCATAATCACATGTGACAAGTGAATTTGCTTCATTTGGCCCACTAGAAAGTGGGTGGTCTGAATATATTTTCCCCCCAGAACAGGTGTCTAAACATGGTCTCTATATTTGAGATTTTTCGTTGATTTGATTGGCTGAAAAATGTGTGGTCTAGGCTGTTCTGCCTTTAAAAAATATTTATTCTTATGTTTGTTGGAATATTTTATTTATTACCAAGTTCATTCTGATCTGTAATGATAAAAATATTATGAAATTAAGTTCTTTATTCTTTATCTATGAGCAGTGACAACAAGAAATTAGGTGGGTAGCCACAAATACCCTAGCCTGGTTATATACATTACAATCAGCCCCTCTTATAGAATACCATAGGCACCCATTTCTGTCCTCACATCATTTTTATAAGAAGCTTCCTTCTTTTTATATTTTCTGAGAATATTTACCTAAGGAGAAGCCTTCCCTGGAATTTATATCTTATCTCACTTGGCTGGGTAAGCTACTTTCAAGGTCTGTGAACCATGAAATGTTTTAGCTTCTCGGTTCTTTTATGTCTGCACTATATGAAGTGCAAGGTATAGGGGTGGGGGGAGCATTCTCGGGATTTCAAACCAGAAGTCTCTTGCAGTTAGCCTCCCACCTCACTATTTTCTCACTTTCAGGGTTGGAAGTCATAATGTTAATAAAGATAAACCATTAACAGATTGTTAAAAATAAATAAACCAGGCCTCAAGGCATGTGGCAAAACAAAACGAGCGCGCTCTAAAGAAAACCCTTGATGATTTGTTTTGAATTGGTAATAAGCAAGGATGCGCTAACCCACATAACTCTCACTTTCTACCTCTGCTGTTTTTTTGACTGGCTGATAAAAGCAAAACTCCCACTTACAAAATACTTCAATGACCAGAAAGCCTTGCGGGACTGAGGCGGGAAGAAACTTTTCATTGGCCCAATAAATTACTCAAGTTGTCGTGATTGGGCTCTTTCCTTCCTTTCCACAGGGGAGTGGCGGAAATGCGGAGTACGGTGGCCGTAATTGGGCTGGGAAAATCTTATGTGTTCCGGAGTAAATGCCTGGTCGGCCAGGCTGGTCTTGCCACTCGGCTTCTTCTTGTTTCGGTTTTGCCCGCAGAGAGAGATGGGCAGCCAGATTTTGAGTCTCCGCGGAGGCCGCTGGCCATGAAAGGCGGGCACTCGGCAGGGAGCAGCTCAGCACCTGCCATTGCACAGGAACGGCTTGGCGCGGGAGGGGGCTGTCCGCCTGGGTGAGTCCAGGGTCGGTTTGGGACCCTTTTCTCTCCCCTTCCCCGATGGTGCTGAATCCCGCAAGGGGATGTTAGGCGATCTGCGCGCCCTGGCCGCTACTCTCCTGCGAGTGCGGAATTTCTTTAACGGTGGCACTGGGGGAAAGACACTCTGCGTATGCTCAGAGTCCCTTCCCCGAAACTAAGTGCGCATTAAGCGCATGTGTCGCTCCTGGTCCTCTCGCTTCCCCGCATCCCTCGGGCTTCCAGATTCCGACTCCCAAGCAGGCGAAGTTCTGACGTGCTCAACTCCGCCTGGGCAGACGCCTGGGTTTCTCTCGCTGTTCTTTATCATAGTTAGCTGGCTTATTAATTGTTTTCTGAGAAGTATTCCCATGCAACAGTTGTCCCGTATGTTTCGTTAATTTTGCTTTGCCACGATATGCGAACACGCCACTGGGCTAAGGATTTGGAAATGTCTCCCTTGATCCAAACAAATCAAATCTGTATCTACGGTAGAGGTTTATAATTCGCTCCACTGATATTTCGAAATCTCCCTACCACTCATTCTCGGCCTATAAACCTTAACTTTCCCTTCTTTTTCTGCTTTGAGAACCTCAGATGTGGCTTCTGAAACTAGCTGGGATCTTCCTAACCGACTTCAAGTCTTCATATTCTGTTGTCATGGCTCTTCTGGAATCCACTGTGCTCTCCTTCATACACTTCTAGTTATTGCCTTTATGACAAGTACTCTACCCGATGCTGACCATGCATGGTAAGCAAGCTGTTTTTGAAATTTGTGCAAGATTTATGGACATAGGCATTAAATTTTGCACTGGTTGCATATTTCATAAGGCAAGAAATCATGTGGGGTTACCCAGATGCTTTTAGCTTAGTATCTAAACTTTAATACAATGTGGGCACATGCTATTTAAAGAAAGGGGAAAAAACGGCTCCCTTTTTTCTTTTTTTTTGCAATATTCACATGAGAAGCAATTCTTTAATGACAAGGCCATAATTCAGCTTTACTATATAAATTATCAGAAATGTTAGAAATTATTTTGTGTACATATCTTAGCTTGTATAAGTTATTTTTTTATTCCTTGTTGATAATGCCACAGTTTTTGCTATCAAATGATCCTTCTCATTCTATCAATAAATGATCACCAGGAAAAAGGATAAATTCTGGAGTGATAATTTTCTCTAACAAACCTGACTGTGAATATTAAACCAGTTATTAGGACTATCCCAGACAAGTCTGTTTGCTCACACCGTTTTCACTTCAATATCTTTTCTTCTGGAACGCATCGGATATTTATTTCTTTCCCTGCTCCAGAGCTTTGAGAATATAGTGTTCTTTCCCAAGATTATCAGAAACAACAGGCCTTTTTGGTGATTGGTAGGAACTCCAAATGTAATTTGTATAAATAGAAATAGGGAAAGTGCTCATATTACCATCTATTGGTATTTGTATCTGCTCTTTAAGGAGGCCCTTTCATTAAATCTTAATTGTCAGACAAACTCATGTCTCACAAGAAAAAGGCTGAAAGTTTCGCACTATATACAAGTATTTCACATTATCAGTGTCTGATATTGCTATATATTTACATACATATTTGTGAAGATTAATATTTAAACAGTGAATGAAACAGATTCTCTTTAGAAAGTATTATATATATATGAAAATATTAAAGGTTTCCTTTGTGGTGTGATATGGATGAGGATACTTGTGTATTGGTGTGCTTCTGTATACATGCCAGGAACATGGTTGAAAGTAGTTACAAAAGTATTGAAATTTATAATTCCATTCAGGATGTTGGTTTCTGAAAGGATATAGTAGTTGAGGGGTCCTTGGTACTCTCTGACCTTGGTTCTTTTCTTGCAGATGGTTCATTATCCAAACTAGGTAACATCATCAGTACAAATAGTAGTTATTTGTACTGAACTTGGCTTGTTTTTTTTCTATTGTGAATTTTTATTTCTTCACTGGAAATGCTTATTAGTCGATTATATGACTTGTGTGACTTGTATAAAATTTGTGTAATATGTATCGGGTGGGTTTCAAAACCCGTCGCTACCGGTTCGCTCGTGGGTGCACACGGGTGGGTGGGCGAAGCCTCCTGCCACCGCCGCTACCGGTTCGCCCGATCTGGGGTGAACCGGTAGCAACCCACCACTGATATTTATGTATGTTTTCCACATAACAAGGACAACAAATAGATGGTCTTGAGTCAACCAAGATGTCAGGAGCCACTCACAAGAATAAAATCTCAGTGACCATCCCTCAGTGGCAGTATGCTTGTACTTTCTTTACTTCACTGAGAAGAAATTGGGGTCAGAAGACATACTGTGATGGTGCTCATCCCATTTCCCACATAATTCACCTAGTCTTCTGCAACTGGTACATTGGACTTTTATCATTGCACCATGAAACTCACTGGATGATTTTGTGACAGTTTTCGGAACCCAAGCTACCTCATAGAGTTTATTGTGAGAATAAAATGACAAGCTATTCCCATTCTACCTGGGAAACCTACAACATATACAGAAAACGCCAACTTGGTGGAAGCTAGCTAAGAACTTAAGAGCTATTTGCTTTCTCTGGTTTTTCAGGTTATTACTTTTTCTACTTAAGTCTTTGTTAAGTATTGTTAAGTATGCACCATTGATGTGTCTACTGTCACAAAAACATATTAGATTTTTTTTGCAGGCTTATAGATTAAAAAAGATTAAAAAGAACAGAATGAAATAACAGTATATGTTTGCCAAGATCTGAGGTGTAGCTTTGCAGCTTGATTATTTGCTTGTGTAGGGAAGAATTTTTTTTTTACTTTTGTAGTAGATTAAGGTTTTTGAAGTTTGTTCTGCAATTGCAAGACTAAATGGACAAAGCATTTTTAAAAAGGAAAGTGGCTTCCCTGTTATTTAACTTTCCGGAAGCAATAGCAAAAGATCCTTCAAGGGGTACAAACAATTCTTTCTTATATGTGCATCTCAGATAGTGACTTCTGGAATGCTTGAATTTTAAATTGTAAGTTTGAATTTGAACTGTAAGGGAAAATATACTAAAATATGCAGACATATACATCAAGCATTCTGCAGTTGGATTTGGATTTTTTGTCTCTGATCATACTAAGTCTGCAGGTTTGGGAAATGTTCTTTGTGGGAAATAGTGACTCTTTTGCACATATTTGTTAAATGCAGTTATCACTCATGTCTAGCTGGTACCCAAATAACAACCTTCAAAATATTCAATCAAAGGAACAAAATAAATCCTTCCTTTTATAATGAGTTATGTACACTATATATATAAAGAGTATTAAAAATGTTGCCAAAATGGAAGCATCTTTCTTACCATGTTTCCCCGAAAATAAGACCCTGTCTTATATTATTTTGAACCCTGAAATAAGTGCTTGGCCTTATTTTTGGGGAGGTCTTATTATTTTGGGGTGTGAGGGGCAAGATGGGGCTCTTCTAGCCATCTTACCTGATTTCCAGCTCAGTGTTTAAATATTTTCGGAGAGGGCTTATTTTCGGGGGAGTCTTACTTTTTAGCGCATGCGCTCAAAAGCCTGATTAGGCTTATTATCAGGGGATGTCTTATTTTCAGGGAAACAGGGTACAAATATGAAATATCAGATAGAAGATGCCAGTGTAAAAAACTCCTATTCCAGGAAGACTAATTAGAAAAGGACTTGTTTATTAACATAGTCTCTCTAAATATATTATGCCATATATTCTTGTATTTGGGTAAGAAAATCACAGATGTGTGTATAGGATTGAGGCCATACTGGATAAAAAATTGCACATGTGAAAAAGATCTACATAGATGGCTTGATAGATCACAAAATGAACATGGACCAATATAAATATGCTCCATAGTTGATAAGACATGATTTCCAGATGAAGTTTCACAGATACCTGGCTATTGTATTTTGTGCTAGCTATAGGTTTCAGGCATTTTTCAAGGAGACTCCATATAGAGCACATTGCAATAATCTTAAATTGTCCTCTAAAAGTGCATCATGGTTTCTGGGGTTTCCCTTGCCTATCAAAGCTATCACATTGTCTGCTCCACAAACTGTACCAAGAGCAACATACAATAAGTGAAAGAACTTTTAGGCCTTTTTAAAGCCATACACAGTAGGACTTTTTGTTCCTGCCAAGCCGTTCTGTCTTGGTGTTTGAAAAGCAACTGCTTTATTTCACTGCTTGATTCCTAATATTTCACCAAACTGTTGCTTAAGCTTTGCATAGTCCAGCATTTTCCTAAAGGAATGCAGGTAGTCCTTGACTTACAGGCCAGTCACTTAATGACCATTCAAAGTTACGAGGGAGTAACTTTGGCTACAAGTAGTCTTCCCTTCATGTACACTCATTCAGTGACCGTTCAGTGTTATGGTGTGGTCGTAACCATTACTGCAACCCTGTGATTAAATGATCATGATTCAGGCACTTGGCAGTTCACTCACAATTATATTATTGCAGAATTCTGCAGTCACGTGATGACATTTGTGATCTTCACTACCTACTTCCAACAAGCAAAATCAATGGGGAAGCTGGCAGGAGGTCACAAATTGTGATATCTGTGATCACTGGAATTCACATAATGACTGCAGTTGGGACTGGTGTTATAAGTTGGCATAGTTACATGATGTAAGGCGACTTGTACCTTACACTGGGATGCTTAGTGACAAAGTCCTTGGTCCCAATTACCATTGATAAGCAAGGACTACCTGCATTCCTGGATGCTGAAAGTAATGAGATTTGTCAGAGACATCTGGTTTCATGGGAGCTTCATCACTGGAAGCTTTCAAGAAAAGACTGGACTGCCATCTGTCAGAAATGGTGTAAGATCTCCTGCTTGAGTGGGGGTTGGACTAGATGACCTACAAAGTCCCTTCCAATTCTGTTATTCTGTATCCATTTACAGAAAGAAAGAAAGCAAGTTTTTTTTTCCTGTTTTCCTGTGACCTCTATTTCTGCCTGTTTTCTTAACTGGGCAGCCTGTGGGCATCAAATATCACAAATCTTCTCGGAAAGTATTTTGAGTTCCTTTACTTGAAAAGTTTACAGTGTTAAAAGCAGACAAAATGATAGATTGTATCTCAAGGAAGGAGACAGTTGTCCCAGTGGGTACTTCAAATGAAAATGCTGAACCCTACTTAAGCATTATGCAGGTACTGTTCCAGTATGTTTTCTGAATGGCCCACTTTGTAATATTCTAGAATTAGTAATGTAATATTTTTCTTGGTACTTGTAAAAACATTACTATCTAAATAACAGAACTATTAGCAGAATTATTATCTAAACAGTTAATTTCTTAGAGTATAAATTTTTAATACAATTGCAAACAAATTGTATTATTTATGCTATTTGGAAAGTAATTGGCTAAGACTTCTTCATATTTTTTTTCCTCCAGTAATTTTGTCACTTGTCTCTAGATCCTGATTCCTCTTTCACAACTTTGTCTGTAACCTGGAGGATTGAGTACCAAAGTGAAAATCCATTTATACCTGCTGCCTTCCAGATGTTTGGATTCACAGCTTTTGGAAATCCTTATCATTGGCCTTACTGGCTGGGGCTGCTGGGATCTGATGTTCATTAGACATGTGGATTTTTGTAGAAGGTATGTTTATGGTGCTCAAAAGAAGAAGGAAAAACAAGGCCATAATGTCAATATTTCCATCTATAAAAGACTCTTCCTATTTCACTGTTGAATATCACTGGGATCTTCCCTGTATTATTCAGCTGTAGAAATTTGGAGAAAAATGATGTAAAAATAAATTTGGAAAGCCAAGAGGAGGTTATTTGAACCATTTCATGTTTGGTATTTACCTGAAAAGAAGATGACTCTGAATGTAAGATTGTAGGGAAAGAGTCTCCATTGTCATAGTTTCTAGAAATCTAAAATAAACCTATCCCTCCCTTTTCATAATTAGATTTCTCCCAATTGATCTGATTTAGCAAAGAGAGTTTAAGAAAAAGAAGCAGAAAACCAGATTGTATAGCAAATATGAGTCCCCTGAATGCGAGTTGACTTTGAGTTGACTGGAGATGCTTTTGTTCCCAAAGTATTGTGCATGATCTTGATGTCGATCTTATCTCCTCTCTTCTAAATTTCAGTTCATTGCTATGGACAGTGCTATCACCTTGTGGCAGTTCCTTTTGCAACTTCTTCAGGAATCTCGGAATAAGGACATTATTTGCTGGACCTCAAATGATGGAGAATTCAAACTTTTGCAAGCAGAAGAGGTAGCCCGCCTTTGGGGAATCCGTAAAAACAAGCCCAGCATGAACTATGACAAACTCAGTCGTGCACTCAGATATTATTACGTAAAGGTAACTTGGCCTTTTGTTTGCCTCCAATGTTTAACTTACGTTGTATTCCAGTGGCTCTAGAATTAGTGTTTTTTTCCTCTCTGATTTCGATGGCAGGAATGTTGGGAATACCATGAGAGTTTATTGAGCTAAACTGCTTGCCTGTCTGAGTAAATATTTGTTTCATGATTTAGCAACAATCACTGCTACTGTTCTACCCAACCACTTGTTCTTGTTTTGAAATAGGTTTGTGCAACTCAGAGCTCTATTATTTGACATTTTGATTTACTCATTTTCATCCTCAGATTTTTAAAATATGTTAAATGCTATTTTATTAATAAATAAAAGTAAGTAATATTTTATGCAGAATTTCTATGGAATATGTGAATGCATAGAGTATGATTCCCTCCCCCCCTCTTAATGTTTTCTGGAAAATTCTCAGTATATTTTGAAAAGCTTTAGTTGATGTTCTTATTAGAATTTAATTTGGAATAACATTGACTATTAAATGCTGCTTGTAATTTTATGATACATGGATTGTAGCAATCGGCACATTGCTATAGAACAATGTGAAAGCCATTGAATACTGTCTGGAGACTTTGAAATGGCTGTAGTTCATACTGTTCTGCTGAGTATTTCAGATGTTCATTTCCCTTCAGCTACATCAAAATGTTATGTACAGTCAGCTTTTAATACTTAACCTTGGTGCTAAAATGCACCATTGATATTGATACAAGTATTATATAATTGGCTTATATTATACTGTCTTCTTAATCAAAGGAATAAAATATGCAGTTGACTGAAACCATGTTCATTATGAGCAACCTTTTTTTAAAGCTCTACTATGTTTTTAAACTCATTTTTTATTATTGATGGATTTGTTGGTATGTGGTTGGCAGTGGTGAAATGTAAAATTTGTTACTACTGGTTCTGTGGGCATGGCTTGGTGGGGATGTAATGTGACTGGGTGGGCGTTGCCAACTTTTTTTTTTTTAACTTTTAAAACCATTTTTTCTACAACCTCTTCAGTTGTATTTTAAGCATTTTAAAAATGCTTTTAAAAGCCTCTGACGATCCCAGCTGAGCCGCGCGATCATCAGAGGCGGTTTTTTTTTTACTTTTAAAAGCATTTTTTCGGCTGAAGAGGTTGTAGAAAAAATGCTTTTAAAAATAATAATAAAAAGCCTCTGATGATTGCGCGCTCAACTGGGCATGGGGTGGGGGGTGGCAGGGATTTTTGCTACCAGTTCTCCGAACCACCCACCGCCATCGCTACCAGATTGGGTGATCCGGTCCGAACTGGGAGCATTTCAACCATGGTGGTTGGCCTCATAGTGAAACGGGAAAGTATATTCTTATTTTCCCCAGTGCTATATGCTTCTAGACAAATGGATGTTGGATATGTGTCCTGATTAGTACATGGATGTGTATCCCCAAATCTCTTTCAAAACAAAAATGAAGAAAGATAAAAGTTTGAATCTAGAACTATGTAGTCTTTAGCCTATAGAGATAAAAGGGACTTAATAGGCCCCACAATTTTTTCATCTTTAGTTAATCATAATGCCTCCTTGACTAGCTGAACTATATCTGGGACAAGTATTCAAAGAGGGGGTGCCTAATCTCTGTTTTATTTTCGATATTTTCACAGAACATCATCAAAAAAGTTAATGGTCAAAAGTTTGTTTACAAGTTTGTATCTTACCCAGAGATTTTGAATATGGATCCACTGGTTGTTGGCAAGATTGAGGGTGAAGCTGAGGCACAGGCTGGCTTTGTTGATACTAGCAACTCTACAAAGGACATTGAAACTTATGGGAAAGAAAAGCATCAGGCCAGTGTGAAATCCTCCAGTCGCAATGACTATATCCACTCAGGCCTGTATTCTTCATTTACTTTGAACTCTCTTAATTCCTCCTCTTGTACAAAACTGTTTAAGATGGAGAATTCAGCTGAGAAGCTGACAGAAAAAAGAACTCAGGATTCAACACCTTCAGTCATAAAATTTGTAACCATGTCCTCCAAAAGGCCTTCTGTGTCTCCCCTTGCCTCAGCTACTCAACTGACCTCTACTATCTCAGCTGCCTCTATCGTACCTTCAGGTTCAAATGAACATCTCCAGGCCATGGAACCTCTAGCAAAATCTAAATGTGCAGCCACTGAAAGTTCAGCATCTTTGCCAGGCTTGACTTCTAATTTTAATTCTACATCTCCTGCAACCTCCACATCTCCTCGTCTCAAAGTTCCAGCCAAATCTCCTTTGCCACCTTTAAATTCTAATTCTGATCTGGTTATAGACACAGAAACTGAGTCTGTAGTTTGCCAGCAGTTAGAGCACTTTCAGAATCAAATCTTGGAGGTTAAAGAGATGAGTTCCTCCATTTTTGAAAAGAATCTTCGTCATAGCAGAACTAGAAAGCCCAAAGGACTGGAGATTACTCCCACTCTGGTTATTACTGGTAGTGACCCCAGTCCACTGGGAATACTGAGTCCTTCTCTACCAACTGCTTCTCTTACACCAGCACTTTTTTCACAGGTAATCTTGTCTTTTATTTGGGATCTAAATTCTGTATGTGAATTTGCAACAGAATAGAAATTTGCCTGCTAATTCTTGCTTTTGGTTTAAGTTTGGGAATAAAACTAGGAATTTAAGAGGCTGGATGGCTATCTAGCTAAGGTAGACCAGAAAACTGACCTAATCTGTTTAGTATATATTTTAGTCTGTGCTTGAGGCAGAATACTTAATGTTGGGTGTTTTTTTAAAAATATTACTTTTCCTTAAGAGTTCTAAGCTTCCTAGATATTTTGTATCCTAGTTAGGACAAAAGGGACAGTTGGGTGTATTGGTTAAGGCATCTGGCTAGAAACTGGGAGACAGAGTTCCAGTCGTGCCTTGGACATGAAGTGACCTTGGGCCAGTAACTTGCTCTCAGTGCTAGGAAGGAAGCAGTGGCAAACCATTTCTGAAAATCCTTGTCAAGAAAACTTCAGGGACTTGACCAGGCAGTCTCTGAAAATTGGACACGATTTATTATTTATTTTTTATTTAATTTTATTTATATGCCGCCCTTCTCCGGAGACTCAGGGCGGCTTACAATGTGTTAAGCAATAGCCTTCATACTTTTGTATATTTATACAAAGTCAGCTTATTGCCCCCACAAACTGGGTCTTCATTTCACCTACCTTAGAAAGGATGGAAGGCTGAGTCACCTTGAGCCTTGGAGAGATTCGAACCAGCAGTAATTGCAGGCAGCTGTGTTAATAACAGGGTGCTTAGACCACTGTACTATCAAGGCTTGAATGGAAGATTTAAAAAAAGGACAACAGTTAACATTTCACTATTTAATCATGGTTACGTAATTTGGAGTTGCTATTTTCTCTCCCTTTTAAGAAGACATTTCTTCAACTGATTAAAACCATATTTAATTATTATGGCTACAGCAACGTTATGTGCAGCATAATTTTTACTTAACATAGCAGTTTAAAAATCTATTTCTAGGTAATTTTATATTCTAAATTAAGCAAGGACCCTGATGTACTTTCAGCTATACTTAATTTTACTTCGCATATAAAAATAGAGTGTAATGAGTAAGCAAATGAGTTGAATGTAATGAAGAATAGAGAGGTGTTGGCGAATAGGCAATCCAATATAATGATTTAACTATGATTAAATAGTTTGGATTAAATCCCAAGATGGCAACCTTGGATAATTTTGTAAAATATAATCAACCCAGTTTTTAGGGGTCAGCACCCCAAGCTGTAAAGTTCCAGAAAACAGTTGATCAAAATGAAAACAAAAGTAAAATCAGAGTAACAACCTCAAGCTAATGCTTTAGATTCGAGGAATTCAGTAAACATATCAGAATATGACTACTTTGTGTTATAAGAAATTAAAAAATAATAATAATGTGAATTCTGTCTATCTCTATTTTATGACCATCTGAATAGGACAGTTCATTAAAAATTGTTTACATAGGTCACTTCCTTTATTTTTGAGCCATTAATTGTTGCTTGGACAGCAAATAAAATAATTTAAAACTGTTAGATTTCCCCTCCATCTTATCATACCTGTTAGGATCTGACATTGAAATGGAAAAAATCTCTGTTCATCTTCTCTTGCTGTATCTGGAAAAGGAAGATAGCTAACCAAATTGTCTTCCTGTTTTTGTGGTGTGCCATCATTCTTAGTTCCTAGACTAGACAGAACCAGTTTGATTTTCTACCCTTTATTAACTGTCATATTGGTGTCTGATCCCAGACTAGTGATGTTAAAACAGATGTCTTGCCTTAGTGGTATTAGATGCTTGTTAGTCATATTGAGCTTAATGAGCAATTCCAAATGATTATTTTTATGCTATTGTTCTGTATGTCCCACAGACACCTATTTTACTGACACCAAGCCCCTTGCTCTCCAGTATCCATTTTTGGAGTACTCTCAGTCCAGTTGCTCCTCTCAGCCCAGCAAGATTACAAGGTGCTAATACCCTCTTCCAGGTAAGTTTCAGATCATGACAGCAAACAAAGTCTATGTGGCAGATATTTCCTAAATAGTCACATAAGAGTGAGCCCTTTTCTTCATTAGGACAAGATTGTGCAACTTTATTTAAGCCAAGGGCTAGACTTGGCCTTTATGGAGCAATTTGGGAGGAGTCTGGTGGCTGATCAAGAAGGTGACAAAGGAGTGAGCAAGAGTAGGACAATTACTTTTGATTTAACTACAACTAATCTTATTACTTATCACATTTTATTCATTCCTTCTATTATATTAAGAACTGCAGTTGACAGCTATATTCAAAGATGATCTTAGGAAATTTGACAGCTTTTACACCCTTAATTTAGCTCCATGTAAATCACACATATTTCCTAACTGTTTGCAGCTGCTAAGCTTAGCAGTTTAACAAAATAATTCAGTCTTCCCCAATCTGGTGTCCTTCAGATAAATTCGGGCTCCCAACTTCTATATTCCCAGGGCACGTTTGTTGTTTTACGCATGTTTGTGTAAATTAAAAGTTGAAGAAAGCCAAAATAATATATTCTATGAAGGAATTAGTCTACAATCTGAGTGAGAGTACAGTTAAAACAAAAGTTTGAGGATGCCTTGAATTGAGCCCACTCTTCTGATCAATGTGTCTATGGCAGCAAAACAAAAATGAGCAGATGTTGCTTTTCAATAGGTTTTTTTTTTTAGTTAGTCTTGATAACACCTCTGAAATTTTCAGCTGATGCCCCATTCAAGTACTAATTTAATTTATATTTTAGAACCCTATGTTAGCCTCTTCAGAATTGTTAAAAGCTTGTTAAATTTGAAGAACAAAAAAGAAGAGGCAGAGCAAGTATCCCAGCCAAAGCTTCACCCTCCAAATGTAGATGGTGACTCTGACTCTGCATTGAGGGCTTTCTAATCTGTAGGGCTTTCTAATCTTTACACATTTAAGGATCAGTGTTATCTTTAATTTTTCAGTGTTATAAGAAGGTTGGCCTCTTACTGTGGAAAATAATATCAGAATAGAGATAGGTGTCATTGTTGAGCTTATTTGTGCTTTTCTTCCTCTTATTAAGATTTAAAATAAATGTGCTTATCTATATCAGGGGCTCCATGTTGATCAGGGATAAGCATACTGCTTTGGGACAGGGACTCATTTGAAATTTTAAAAGATGTAGTAAGTATACTCAAGAAAATGGCTGCCATAGGAACTTCCCTGTTCATGAAATAGCTACAAGGACAGCATGAACAAAAAGTAAAATGACCTTCTAAGTTGATCATTCCTGTGAGGGGTTTGTAAAGCTCAAACACCTTCTAGCCGATAAATAAGATCGTGTGATGCTTTACTATGCAATAAAATTATACAGTACTGCATCTTGGTCACACCCAACCTGGTAATTGGTGCTATGAAGCTATCTGGTAACATTATTCTAGAATCAGAATATCCTAGAATCATTCCTGGAACAGGAATGCTTTCTGGGGGTCTTGGAGTTGACATCCACAAAACTTAAAATTGTTGAAGTTGAGAAACACCGTTTTAGGCAAATGAGTCTCCTGATTATGGAATTAGAAGAGGAAAGTTAAAAATGGCTGTCCCTTTTTTGCTTGATTTGAAAGACTTAAGGGAAATCAATATTTCTGCAAAAATAACCAAAATGCAGGGGGGGGGGAATCAATAACTATAAAGGTCCTTGCATTTTAAGGTATTACTGTATCATGCTAGAAGAAATGACTTGGGTGCTTATCTTTTGAAGCCATTTTGATGAATTTCATATGAATAAATGGATGGGTAGACTTCCCACTGGAAAAATGAATATGAAATTGTTACTTTGTCTTAAGCTGAAGAAACTGAAGCCTGTGGGTGTTTTGCTGATGACAAAAGCAAACTAGTGGAAAAGCTAACTGAAAACACAGATATTACCTTATAGACAACTGTAGCATTAATATCTGTTTCTGTTTTATAGTTTCCATCAGTGCTGAATACTCACGGACCATTTACTCTGTCAGGAATGGACGGCCCTTCCACTCCTGGCCCTTTCTCCCCAGATTTGCAGAAGACTTAACATACGGCCTTTTGAAAATGGACAGCTTGGACTAAAAAGAGGAAGAGGTTTTATTAAAAATGCTGCAATCCAGGTTTTAAGAGACAGTTTTTAATTCCATAGAGACAATTTAAAGTGACTTGGTTTTTGCTATTCCCAGTTCAGATGCCTTTGCAAAATTCTCTTTAAGACATAAGAGAATTCATAAGGAAGTGCCTTGATTGTGGAGATTCTTCTCTAGAGTTTCTCTCTCCTCCTGTTCCTTACTGCTTCTTTTGAATGAAGAAGGCTTCTTTTAACAAAGAACACACTTTTGTATTATAATGAGGTATTGGACAGAACAGCCAACTGATATCAGATGGTTTTTGACTGTTATCCATCCATTCCTTTGCTTTTTGTTTTTTATGTCAAAATATTATTTCATGGAAGCTGGCATTCCAAGAAATACTTGGAAAGTGAATAAAAAGACTTATTTTTTTACAGTGAATTCCAATGACCTTAAAAAGTTTTAGCATTGCAACTTACAGTAGTGTAGAGTTGAGCAAAATTTTAAGAATGGTTGCTATGGATAAGAAAAATCTTTTTTCTTTGGCAAAAACGTCAGTTCATCCTCACATAATAGAATGGTATTTTGTATGCTTGAATGGCATAGTTATGCATAGATCATGGATTGAATTGCTTTGATCTTCCAAAAATATTTAAAGGTGTTAATATTTGATAAGCCAAGTCAAGAAAAATAAAAGCAAATCCCTTGTTGTTTAATAAACAATTTAACAGGTTGAGCTAATTAAAGAAACTTGCAGTGGATTTATGGTGGCACTGGATTAATAAGCATTTATTTGACATGCAGTGAGTTATTGTTGTCTTGCTTCTTGTTAATGTACATAAGTGTGACATTTGAGAAGTGAACATTTATTGTTTGTTCTTTTTCCCTCAAAGAGGGAAAGAGACACACCTTCTCTTGGCCTACTGCATATCTAGGTGTTCTTTTAAATATAAATGGATTGACGTTTTGAATGTTCAAGTCTTTAAAATTAAAAATGTGCCATTATTAGAAAGTACTCTGACTAATTAAATGTTTGAAACTGGAGGGAGAAAGCATAAAGTGGCACATGCTGTTTGAAATCTAAAAGGAGTAAAATGTGGTTCTAGCCTGAATTTAATCTTGTGGGAAAATATTCATTGCATAACAGCTTCAGCATGATGGTAGTTGAGACTTCTTTGCAAATATATGGTAACATAATGATGACTTGCTAAAGTGGGAGACTTATTTGGGGGACTAGAAATTGAAAGTAAAATGGATAGATCTAACACCACTAATAGTAGGTATCCCTCAGTTGAATTGAAAGAAGATTCACCCTTTCTACATACTGTAATATTTATAGTCAGGCCCTGCTATATTTCAGAAAACACTTTAAATCTTGTTGCTTCAATAGCTTATTAGAAAGTTGAAATAGATATCAGTAAAGTATTATAATCCGTTTTTCTGTGTCAAAGTAGGCTTGGTTTAAAAGGGCAATCAACCTGTGGGTTTTTATTCATATACTTATTCTTAACAGGCCTCATACATTGGTTAGTATGCCATAGTGCCTCAAGGTAACATATCAGATTAAAGTAGGATACATTTGTCTGCATTAAACTGTAGTTGGCGCCCTTGATCAGGCAGGGATTCAAAAGGCCCAATCCTATCTCTCATTGTACCTAATTGAATATATGTGGATCTATTTCAGTATAGACATGAAAAACATTGATGGCAGGTAACAAGAGAGGGCCAGTTTGGTTTAGTGGTTAGAAATCTAGAAAGCAGGACATGTCACCTTATCCATGAAAGCCAATTGGGTGATCTTGGGCCAGTCTCTTTCTCTCTCAGGCCAACTTACTTTGAGGTTTGTTGCTGTGGGAAAAATAGGAGGAGGAAGATACGTTGGATATCTTCTTCATAAAAATTATAAAGGTGGGATTTGTTGTTGTTCAATTGCTAAATTGTGTCTGACTCCTTGTGACCCTATGGACCACAGCAGCCAGGCCCCCTGTCCTCCACTATCTCCTGGAGTCCTCCTAAACCCACACTCATTGTGTTAATGGCACTATCTAACCAACTCATCCTCTGCTGATCCCTTCTCCCTTTGCCTTCAATCTTTCCCAACATCAGGGGCTTTTCTAATGAGTCCTTGCTTCTCATTTGATGGCCAAAATATTTGAGCTTCAGCTTCAAAATGCGGGATTCATTTTATAAATAGAAAAGTAGATGTCTTGCAGGCAATATCCAGGTCAGAGCAGCACTTTTTAAGGGCAGCCATTCTAGACTGGCTGCTGACGGCATATGTATTAAATACAAGAGGTTTTAAAAATGAAATTTTGCTTTAACTTTATGATGGAGAGTAATGTGGTTAAAATATTTGCTTGTCATCTCCTTTGCCAGTCAGACAACAGAAAGGACTGGCAGATTCCAATTAAGTGTTAAAAAAATAATATCTGATGGACTGAGCCATTTGCATGGATGCTTCAACTCCTAGAGTTTCTCAGCCAGCACTGGTTGGGAAATTCTTGGAGTTGAAGTCCACACATTTGAAAGTTGCCAAGGTTGAGAAACACTGGCTTGAATGGCTTCTGCCTTCTTTGGGAGTCTCCCTTTTCCAGTATTGTGCTTTCCTATATGGTACAAGAAGCAACAGGAATAATACATGTATTTAGATTTGCAAGTGAACCAAAACTTAGATCATCCTGATCTAAATTGTTTATCCTAGTTTCACAAGCTAGTCCCAATATTCTCAGAAAAAAATGTTCTGCTATAAACCACTGTCCCTCTTATGCTAAGATCCAGGTATAGCGTTTCCATTTTTAGTGACTTAACAAAATTGTCCTTTTATTTTACGGGAGATTTATGTGTAGAGAAATTTTGAATTTCTCTCTTCTTGCTTCATCATCAATAAATCATTTTCTCTTATTTTCTATTAAAGAATGAGCTTTGGAAGCCACAACTGGAGGTGGCTACTCTGTTTGGTATGGAAGATAACAGTCTTTAACCATTACATAGTGGCATTACCTAGAGAAGCTTCCCTCTGTATTAAAAAAAACCAAACACCACATTCCCTGTTGCAAATGTTTTTGTGATTTATTTAGAGAGGTATTTTATACTGGTCTGCCTCCTGGCTGGTTGACCTGCTATTTTTTTCTTTTTTATTTCATATTCTTACATTTTGAATTGAATTTTTGTCCCATTGCAACTGTTCACCTAGGTCAGGGGTATGCAACCTTAAACACTCAAAGAGCCATTTCGACCCATTTCCCACAGAAAAGAAAACACCGGGTGCTACAAAACCGGGTGGGCGTGGCCAACTCAATGTCACTCACTTCAACCATTCACATGACCCCCCCCAGCCACGCCTACCCAGCCAGTCATTAAGGCAGAGAACCAGTTGTTAAAAAACATCAGGAGCCACAAAACCCTTTTGACATATCTCTCTCTCCCCTCCCTCCCCCTTTCCCTCTCTCTCTGTATCTATGTCTCTCTCTCTCTTCCCCTCTCTCTGTATCTCTCTGTCTCTGCCCCGGCCGCTTCTCCATCCCACGCCGTCGCCCTTACCTTCTCAGGCCAGGCGAGGAGTGACTGGGAGGGGAGGGTGAAGGGCGGGGCCAGCCAGTGGTAGGATCACTGACAGGGAGCCACAGCAGAGGGCCCAAAGAACCGCATGTGGCTCTGGAGCCGCAGGTTGCTGACCCCTGGCCTAGGTACTTCATTGTTATTTTCTAAACACCCATTTGGTAAATGTGAAAACTCCACTCTGACCATCGAGGATGGAGGAAATGCAGGTTAATAGGAGGACAGTAAAGGGTTAACCTCCATTTTACACCCCAGATAATATAGAATATTTTAATTTCCAGAATCCAGATCTAGATTTTATTTTGCTTTTCATGTATGCTTTCTTTAATTGTGTTAGATGATAAACATTTTCATGCTTTCAGCTGCTAGATCATGTTAACATACACATTAGTCAGATGGTATCTTATTTTGATATGATTACTGATACTTTATTGACCTTTCTTAATGCTGTATTTTTCTTATCTAATAATTAGAGAAAACAACAATTTCTACATTTTTTTTTTAATTTGATTTATATGCCGCCCTTCTCCGGAGACTCAGGGCGGCTTACAATGTGCTCAGCAATAGCTTTCATCCTTTTGTATATTTATACAAAGTCAGCTTATTGCCCCCACAACTGGGTCCTCAATTTACCTACCTTAGAAAGGATGGAAGGCTGAGTCAACCTTGAGCCTTGGAGAGATTCGAACCTGCAGTAATTGCAGGCAGCTGGTCTTAATAACCAGTTTAATAACAGGGTGCCTTAGACCACTGTACTACCAAGGCTCTACATTTATCTCTACAATATTATTTTATATGTTAGCACAAATTGATATTCATTGGTTTTTACCTAATCAGTTAGTGTTAGGACAAATGTTGAGTCTCCTAAGTAATTCATTATATATAATTTTTGCTACTCTTTTATTGCATTTTTATATGTAATCACGTATAAACAATTATTCATTCAAGAGATCTCAATAGCCTGTCAAGATTATACTGGTTAGAGCTCCGTGTTTTTTAAGAGAATATTAAATTAGATATTACTTTTCAAGTATTAAAGTAAGCAGTGAAAATTTTACCTTTCACAAACTACATTTGTGAGATCTCCCTTCCCCACTTCGTAACTGGTATGAAAACAGATTGTAAGAGGTCATAAAAGTACATATTAATGTGAGGAAATGCCAAAGAACTTTAATTCTCCTTTGCTGCCATGCTAATGTTTTGTGAATGTAAATCAGTGACATTTTAATTTAATAACCAAATACTTTCTTAAGCTTGTTAATATTTCCAAAATTTTGTTTAGAAAGAAGCATTAGAATAATACTCATGGTACTGGAAAAAAGTGAGGTATTGGTCTTAAGGGCTAGAGTACTTTTTCAAAATAAAAACTGAAATTAACTATCAGTAATTATCAGTGAGTGAGCCAAGCTGGTGTATTGTTTACTTAAAGTCCCACTGATTTTAATAAATATAAATATGTTACAGAACATAGACATCTTGAAGAGGTTAAAAGTGATAAAGCTGGTTTTATGGCTCTAGATCAGATGTGTCCAGTCTGTGGGCTGTATGTGGCCCCTAGCAGCTGTATGTGGCCCCTGTACAGACCCACAAGATAATAATAAATATTTAAAAAATAAAGGAACTTTGTTATTTATATACATTAACTATATTATATATTTTAGATGCAGCCCAAGACAATTCCTCTTCACTCAGTGAAGCCTAGGCAACTATGGTTGGAAAACTGCTCTAGATCACGGGTGTGAAACTCATGTCACGTTGCTGTCATGTGACGTATCATGACGTTTTTTCCCTTTGCGGAGCTGGGGTGGGCGTGGCTTGTCCGTGACGCATCCAGCCCGTGGGCCACTAGTTTGAAATCCCTGCTCTAGACTCACTAATTAGGATTTGCACTAATGCTAAGAGTAACTTTTTCTTTGAATAGCTGTTTGCTTTTTATTTCCAGAGAAAAATGCTTCTGAAAGTAGTTCACAATGCTATTATTAAAGTTTGGCTGATCTTGACAAAATATGAATATAATGTGAGACTGTGGAACTACCGCAATTATATGGTAGTTGCTGAGCATTGTTCAAAAGAGTTTTCTCTTAAGGTCACTCTTACAATGTTATGCAATGTTATTAATCACAGTGATGAAGCTAATTCTATTGCTTGGAGAAATTGATACCTAAGGCAATATTTTGTAGAGTTAAACAATTGGAATGGTATTCAGATTGTTTTATTAAACATGATTGAAAGGTACTGCACTTTATGGCTGCAGTTTTTAAAATAGTTGCACATTCAGGATTTCTAATACTATAGATCATTGTGTCGTATTTCTCTATTCGTTAAAACATAATTTTGAAGCTACTAAAATATAATTTTCTCCAAAAGTATCTTAAACCAATTTTCTGAAAATGAGTTAAAGGTTAGCATTAGTCCTACAACTGTGTCATATAAATAACCTGAATGGTTGAAATAGTTGTTACCATATGAATGTATCTTTGCTTGAAGCAGCTTTCACATTTGCAAATTAAATATTTTATTTAGTTCGTCATTCCATGTTGGTACTGCATAAATT